ACACGGGGCACCATGAGTCGAAACCCACTCAATGTCTACAGGATTTGGAGGAACCAGTATTACTCCATCAGACAGAGGTCACGTGCTGTTCTTCCTGAAGAAGTTTCTTCCCAGGTTTTCTCAGCATCACAGAACAAAACCGGCTTTGAATTCAATGATTTGCACATTACCCAAATTCAAGATGCCTTTCCAAATACTCTTCTTTGTTCTACTTGAAAAGTGTGCTTTACTCCCTCAGAAGAGCTCTACTCCAGGATCTGCTCCAATCTGATTCCTATCCGTCCAAAAGGAGAATAATAAATATTTGATGGCACCCTGCCCGTGGCTTGTTGGCAATCAACCTTGAGGTGCCCCAGGGTGCTCACCACGGTCAGGTTGTCAAATAAACCATTCTCCACAGAAAAGGGACTTCCGGGCTGCTGGAATAGGAACGAAGTACCACTTAGGTCCTATCAGATGACCCGACAAAAAGGCTCTTGTGTGTATGCCTTGTGTGTGCCAGGGGAGATAAGAATGAAAAGAAAAATCTCCAGGAAAACATGTCCACATTCCTAAGAAAAACACGCTAACGTGTTCTCACACAGAGATGGGTGAGATCGGAAACCCTCCAACGGCTTTAAGATGAGATCCACGTTTGCAGGTCAAGGGGGAAAGAGTTGTAGGCCAAAACAGGTTTGAGCTAAATGGTATAAATCAGGGTTTGCCCAAAGGATCCAGTCAGCCAAGTCCACAGGTGTACTTAAAACTAAACACAATGTATCTTTTAGAATCCTTCTCCCAAGGAATGAAGCACACCACAGCTATGTGAGTGCTGGTTACCACCCCCGGAAGATTTAGGACCTATCAGGTAACAATTACACAGTCAAATCACATTTCCTGAAGCTAAATTTATAGTCTCTGTTAAACAGGGAACTTTTACCATTCCCCAAAGCTTTGTGAAGCAGGACACACAAGTTACTTGTTGCCATTCCAGGGGACAAGGGTATGCATTGCACATTTCTGTAGGAGGAAGGAAAACTGCAGATTCTTACCAAGTAATCATCAGCCTTGATACCAAACAGTTCTCTGAAGTATCGGAATGCCAGTGGAGCGTATGTCTTAAATCGGAAATCTGGGTAATGATGAGCTGGCGTCAGATTGCTCCCTTCACTGTGGTTCAGATGTTCAGAGAAAGAGAGAAAGATTAGCAAAGGAAACTTTTACTTTAGATTCTAGCTCTGCATCCTGCATGGACATCTTCTCTAGAATCAATCTCTTCCACCATCCTGCACGGTTCTGCATAAGGTGACATCACAAAGGCCACACGGCCATCGGGGAAGACAGATGCCAACTCAGCGAGGACCACCTCCAACATACAATCCCTGACAATCATTCTCCAGCACTCCATTGGGCCTCCTTCCCGGGCCAAGCACCCCACCATCTCTATGTGGAGGGACGTAGAGATGGTAAGGCTCTTAGTGGAGCACGCAAGACTTAGTGTGTGGTGCCATTTAAAATTAAAAAAAAATTTAAAAAAAGGTTTTTGACTATACATTTTGGATATTGGATATGTATTTTAAATTGAAAGTGAAATAATTTTTCTAAATATCCTGATGATAGAGATTGGGGCAGAGTGAGGGGACCTAGTTCTGTATTCTTTCTTACATCCACATTTCGAGGGAGCCAGTAAAACCAGTTATTGAGGAGTTGACCCAGATTCACGATGACCCCACGGGTGTCTGGTCAGAACGTGCTCCATACGTAGATGTATTTTTTACAGTAACTTTGTATTATTACCAACCCCATAATGTAACAGCACCTTCCTATTTCCTTCCTAGGGTTCCCTTCATCCTTCTTTGTGATTCTGTTTTCTTCCTGCCTTCTGAGCTTTGTTGTTGTTGTTGTTAAGTGCCATTGAGTCAGTTCTGACTCACAGTGACCCTGTCTAGAGTTTCCGAGGAGCAACTGGAGGCTTAGAACTGTTGTCCTTGTGGTTTGAAGTCCAGTGCTGACCCTAAGTGCCCCCTTGGGTCAGTGCTGCCCTTTTGGTCTCCTAGGGTGGGTTGTTGTGAGGAAAGTGTTATTCTTCTCCTTAGAGGGCTGAATGCTGAGCCACAGGGGTGAGTTCAGGCGCAAAGAAGGACTGAGGGCCACAGGTTCAGGGGTCCCAGCAATCTGCCCCGCACCAGGATTCCTGTGAATGATTTTGTGGGAGGAGTAGTCTGCCTCAACTTTCTTCTAAGGAGATTCTGGGTGGACTCAAATCACCAAGCTTCTGGTACGCAGTCCAGCCTGTCCACCATTTATACACCCAGGGAGAAAGACTTCAGCTCCTTTAGGGATTTATAAACCTGGGTTCCTGTCCCCAAATATATATGAGGGGACTTCACAAAGCTTGTCAGGAAATGGGATAAATAGACAATGGAATTTTCCCACAAACTTTTTTCCTTCGTTTTTGAATTTATCTTTGAAAATGTATGCGTGATATTTATGATACATAAAAAGGAATTCAAAACGTTGCTTAAAAAGGAACCATGACGCATACAGCTGAAGCGTCTCTGTGTTTTGTAGTGATCGTATCCACTGGCCTGAATTTGGATGGTTATCCTTCTTAGGACGTCAAACAAGTCATTTAACCAAAAATCACCCAAACGCTTGAGTTCATTCCGACTCACAGGAACCTGGTAAGACTGAGCACAACTCCCCCAGAGGACCCCCAAGGCGTAACGCTTTAAGGAAACAGACTGTCCCTCTTTCTCCCATGGAGTGGCTGGTGGGTTTGAACTGCTGATCTATGGGTGAGCAGCTGAGTCTTAACCACTGTGCCACCAGGGCCCCTTTTACCTAATCTACTTGTAATACTTCATCATTAAAAAGTTGGAACAATTCAGTTGTTGTTAAGTGCTATTGAGTTGGTTGTGACTCACAGAGACCCTACAGAGGGTTTCCTGGGAGCGTGGTGGCTCTGTGGGATAAGCACTGGATTACAAACAAGGTCTATGGTCCGAGCCCACAAGCTGCTGCATGTGATAAAGAGGAGGTTTCTGTTGCCACAAAGATACAGCCTCTGAAATCATATACAAGGCTGCTGTGAGTTGGAACCGACTCGATAGCACTTAACCAAACAAGTTATTTATTAAATTCCCACTCTCCCCACCAAATATGACCCAAATTAGGACAATGTGTATGGGTAACTTTGGTGTTTAGGCCAAATTCCAGTCTCAAAACAGCAGGCATCTCAGATTTTCTGGAGAAGGATGAAGTCAAAGGCATCAGGAACCAGGAGCTGTAGGACTGAACTCAGGTGTGGGGTCCAATTATGAAGGTCAGCAAACCCCATCGCCAGTGGGTGCCTCCTGGAAGCCCACTCTTCCTCAACCAACCCAGGTCAGATACTGCTCTTGAACAGCCTCATTCCTTCCCACTGAATCTCAAAACCTTCCAATTCTACCTCTGCCCAATGTACAACTGGCCAGAAGGGATGAAACCCATCTACCATCGCCACATTACTAAAACAAAAACAAAAACTAAGCCAGCCATCCGCTGCAGCAAAAACAATTCTCTTGCTGCTTGCCATAGTTCCAGTGGTAAAGTGGAGGGTCAGCACACAAGAGGAAGACCCCCCAACAGGATGGATTAACACTGTGGCGGCAGCAATGGGTTCAAGTGTAACAACAGTTGTGAGACTGGAGCAGAACCAGGCAGTACTTCGTTCTGTTGTGTACAGGGTCGCTAGGAGTTGGAACTGAGCCGATAGCATCTAACAACAACAACAAAGTGCCACTGTGTGGGCGTGCTGAAAATGGCATTCACCAGGGGCGTCTTGAGAAGGGTGTGTTAGCGAGGAAATTGTCTCAAATGAGAATGTCCTTACCTCGGCAGGAACACACTTTCTACCACATAAAAGTCTTGCATGAGAACATCTCGGTCTGGCTTGGAAGTGAGATTCCCCACCGTGTATCCGATGCCCAGCTGAATAGCACCTTTAATGGCAGATGACGCAGTCTGCAATGAAGACAAGAAGACCGTCGGGTTAAGTGTCACACTCAGCAGAATCCAGAGCTGCTCCCTTGTTCCTAAGCAACAAGGGAGGCAAAGGCTGGGAAGACAACCTGTTAACTTTTTTGTCTTTAATTTCAACTTTAGAGATCATATAAAATTTTTACTTTGGTGAAAACGCACACAGCATTTCAGTAATCTCCACTTGGACGCGGCAGTCATACTGATTATATTCTTCCCACAGCACATTCTGATCCCCTGCTCTTTGCTTCTCTGCTCCTTGCCTCCAAAGCTTCTCATCCAATGTTTCAAGTTGCTCTCAATTGAATTCTACACAGATAATTCTTCAAAAGAACACAATGTTCATGGTAGACATACTTTACTTATTAAGATAAATCCTGGAGTGGTGCTATAGGATAAGCACTGGACTGCAAGGTCAGTTTGGACCATGAGGTTGGTGGTTCAAACTCACCAGTCGCTTCTCAGATACCTTGGACAGGGTCGCTATGAGTCAGAACCGACTCAACGGCATGTAACAACAACGTTTGGTTCACAGGGGATAGTTTTGGTTAAAGATTTAAATTTTACAAGATGAGGCCAGGGCAACAGTTTCAGGGATTCATCCAGCCTCAAGTGCTCCACAAAGTCTGGCTTCTATTGAAAAATTGAAATTCTGTTCTGTATTTTCCCCCTTTTGATGAAGATTCTTTTCTATAATCTTTGATGACAACAATTAATGGTAAATTGTCACTATCTAGTTCTGGTCTCATGACAAAGGAAGGAGCTGTTCTTGGAGCTAACCAGCTATGCAAGATGTATTCACCGTTAGTTCCTGGCTCCCCTTTTTCCTGTTGTTCCAAATGAAGGAAGACCTCCTGTACCTTGGATGGCTGCTTACCAACTGCAAGCCTGCAGACAGTACCCAACCACCGAGGAGCTAGAAATCACATGCTTCTTTTGATGGAGAATCTACTTCAAATATTAAGAAACCTTGTTATGAGATTATTTTTTGTGATACTATTTCCCACAAATGTTAACAAGGTCAAATTATCATCCCAAGCCCCCATCTTTCTTTTAAGAACTTGGAACTTTTGGTGGAGAACTTTTAATACATTTCATTCTAATTTCCACCAGAAGATAAATGGTATTGTCAGATTTCTTAAAATCAGAATTTCTATAATACTTATGGGTTAGTGAGAGTGTTTTGTCTTCATTAGAAATGAGAATAATTGAAGTCTTAGCAGTTCCCAAAGACATCCGTTTGGAAATTGCTTACTATAGTTTTGCTATAGATCTACTTCAAGATGTCCTGCAACGATCTATGTGGGCTACATAACCCTCAGAACTGGAACACTGATACCTGCAATTTAGTACTTTTGCAATATCCATCCATAATTGCCATAATGTCAATTTTAGGAATAACTGCCTTGCATGTATGTGTAGTTTTAACTCAATTTTTGAAAATTAGAAATCGATCTTCTTAATGATGAAAAGACATCAGATTTTTTATACCTTCCAGGGTCTAATGTAAGGAGTTCTAGTGGTGCCACGGGTTAAGCACTGGGTTGCCAACTGCAAGGTTGGTGGTTCAAACCCACCACTTGCCCTGAGAGAGAACAATGAGGCCGTGGTTTAAAACAGATTCAACAGTAGTGGGTTTGGGTTTTGGGTTTTAATGCCTGATGAGGTGCCCTTCCACACATGGAGCTAGAGAAGAGTCCATGCCTCTGGTTCTCCACTGGGGACATTTGGAGATGTCTGGAGGCATCAGTGGGTGGAGACGGGAGATGTGGCTAAATATCCTACAGTCCACAGGGTGGCCTCCTCACAAAAAGGAATTCTCAGGCCCAAAATGTCAGTAGTGAAGGTTGAATTTTTGACTTCCATGAGTAAATAGAGATAACTTGTTTTATAGCAAAACAAACAGCAAACCACTCTTTATGATTTAGTAGTGCTGTAGGATCAGCACCGGGCAGCTAACCACAAGGTTGGCGGTTCAAACCCACCAGCCACTAACTGAAAATCCTGCATAGAGTTACTATGAGTCGGAACCGACTTGACACCACGGAACAATACTGTCTCTTAGCAAAAATTAGACCCAGCCCCATTCTGCTGGTTCAAAAAATTTCTCTTCATAGCTTTTGACGCCAAAGAACACCTGTCACTTGAAAAATTAAGCTCTGTTCTTGGTTTTCCTGACAGGCCCTGAGCCATTTCCCCCTTTTCTGATGACTCTCCTCTCATCTCTTCACATCGTCCTCCCAGTCCACCTGCTGAAACAGCCGAGTCTTCCACAGCTGGCTCCCTGAGCTTCAGAGGACTCTGGGTGACCCAGACGATAAATCCAATCTTAGTGATTTCAAACTGTCTCTGGAGAATGACCAGGCCCTCATCCACAAATCCATCTGGGTGCTATTCCAGCATTAGAAATTTAGCATGTGCAGAACCAGGTTAATACTAATTACTTACAATCCTCCCTCCCCCACAAGGCTCTGTAATCCTCTAGTTACCCAGTCTTGAACCCCCAAAATCACATGTAGCACAGAGCTGCTGCTGCTAGGACCTGGTGAGTTGATTCTGACTCATGTTGCTGTTGTTAAGTGCTGTTGAGTCGGTTCCGACCCATAGTGACCCTGAACAGGGTTTCCGAGGCTATAAATCTTTACGGGAGCAGAAAGCCTCATCTTTCTCCCGTGGAGCAGCTGGTAGTTTCGAACTGCTGACCCTGCGGTTCACAGCCCGATTCGTAACCACTACGCTACCAGAGCTCCATAGAGACCCTTATATGACAGAGCAGAAGTACCCCAGGGTTTCTGGGGTTCCATGGGAGTACATTACCACATCTCTTCAAAGCTCTAGCTTAGCAGCCGAGCTTCATCCTAGGTCCCTCAAGGCTTGGTCTTGAGCAGACACCTGCTTGGCTTCATCCATCAGTACCCACCAGTCACCTTCATTGTACAGCAAGCTCTGAATCATCACTGAATTGCTAAGTCTGCTGCACCGACAACGCCCCATCACCCTCAGTCCGAGGACAAATACATCATCTCTTCCCCAGAGGGGGGAACGAGTCCCAGTGGTTTTCTTGAATCATGTGCCTTGTGACTTAAGATCCCGGGAATGGAAAAAGATGGCCACTGTGCACAGAGTGCTCTTACAAAGATGTTTGCTATTTTAATACTCCCTGCCTCGGGACCACAGCTCTGCAATGTCACCAATGGATGCCAGTGACCTTTCGGACTAGTCTCCCTGACCTCTGAAGGCAGAGATGAGAGTTTTCCTCATTTTAAAGCTCACATACAAGTTCAAAAGGCTTCTCTACTTCCATCTGTCGCTCAGAGCAGAATGACTCAAGACGGGACATCAGCATTTTCTAGAAGATTCAACGCCCCACAATGTTCTGGACCAGACCTACCCAGTCTCCCAGACCCTCCAGATGCCTCCTCCCCACCCCCACTCCTGACTCTGCTCCTCAGAACGATGTATGTTCCTGCCAGCTGTTGCTAAGTACCGTGTAGTCACTAAGACTCCAGTGATGGTCCATACAACGGAAGGACACTGCCCAGTCCTGTGCCCTCCTCACAGCCACTGCTGTGTTTGGGCCCACTGACCACAGCTGTGTTTGCCCACTGCTGTGTTTGAGCCCACTGCCCGCCGCTGTGTTTGAGCCCACTGCCCGCCGCTGTGTTTGAGCCCACTGCCCACTGCTGTGTTTGAGCCCACTGCCCACTGCTGCAAGCACTGTGTCACTCCATGTCATTGAGGGTCATCCTGTTTTTGTGCTCACACTCTCCCAAGCATTGTGTCCTTCTCCAGGGACTGGTTCCTCCCAATGACACATCCAAAATCTCTCCATCCTTGCTTTTAGGAAGCATTTCCGCTGTCCTTCCAGGACAGACCATTCATTCTTTAGGCATCTACAGTTTCTGATTATTTCATGTAACCCCACGGCATCATCATGATAACAGCGATTTCCCACTTTTTCCCCTGGCTTGGTAATGAAAGGTGGTTTGAATTGTGGCGCTGGCCGAGCAACACTGAATATATCATTACGTGTTTTGGAAGACATAGACAGCCAGGATTCATTTTAGAATCAAGGATGGTGACATTTCATCTCACATACTTTGAACACGTTAGCAGGTGGAACCAATTCCTGGAGAAGGACATCGTGCTTGGTAAAGTAGAGGCTCAGTGAAAAAGAGGAAGACCCCCCCCCCCGCCCCCCAGGGAGACAGACTGACACAGTGGCCACAACAATGTGTTCAAACATCGCGATTGTAGATGTGGTACACAGCCGGGCAGTTTTGTTCTGCTATACATTGTGTCACTGTGAGTTAGAGCGGAGTTAGTGGTACCTAACAACATCAACAACAACAAAGGTGTGAGTAGGCTGTATTTGATGTTTTTGAACATCACTGGAGGGCTCCAAGGTGGTGGTTAAACACTCCTTTATGATTTAGGAAGTGTCAGATGAGTACCCCAAATCTATTCCCTTCACCCAAACCCGGTGCTGTCAAGCACATTCCGACTCACAGAGACCCTGAAGGGCAGAGAAGAACTACCCCAGAGAGTTTCCAAGACTAAATGTCTACGAATGCAGACCACCACATCTTTCTCCCACAGAAATGCTGGTGGGTTCAAATCACTGACCTTTGGGGTTAGCAGCGAATGCTTTAACCACTACTCCACCAGGAAGCCATGCTCCTGATCTGGGGAGAGCTGAAAGCAAGTGCCTCCCGTATGAGCGAAGATTCCTATGGGCCTCAAGCTCGCTTTGTGCCACAGAGCTTTTACCAAAGACCTACACTCACTTCTGTTGTTACTAACTGAGAGAAATCCAAAGAAGATTTTCACTTCTACCAAACATCGAACATGGAAACTGGTACTCAGCCGTTATAAGAGGCAGCCTGCATCCCAGGTGATGTCAGCAGTAACCCCAAGCTCACTCCCCGGGAATTACACTCAGCACCTGCCAACAGTATGTTAGTGTGATTTTGGGCTTTATGTGT